CCATAAAATGATACGTGAATTATTTTTGGAAGTTGATTACTTACATGGTGCTGTGAAACCAACACCACCTCACCCAAGTTGACCTGCCCTGGCCAGAATCCATAGAGGTTTGGCCAGAACCAGGTTTAACAGTAGACGTGTCTCATCAGCAAGTCTGAGAATCACATGTTCATTCTGTTTACTTTATGGCCTTAATCTGGCCCTTCATTTAGACCTGAAGGCTCATTTCCAGCTGAGAATCTTGTTTCTGGCCTTACGTAATATATTTTAGACAACTAAAACACAAGCCACCAACTTATTTTGAATAATTTCTTGCCATTTTTTTAGAATTTAGGTGGAGCATGTCATAGAGGGGATTGTTCCTGCTTCACAGGTGGACATTTTAGTTTCAGGGTCAACAATGAATCGCACACTTAATTTTTTTTTTTTTTTTGCTCTGCTTAACTTCTTGCTTCACTTTCATCTTCCTGAGGTGGGATATTCTGAGAGACTTGTTGAACAGAAGGAGCTCCACTGAGAATAGACATCAAGGTGGGTTTAAATCTTAATAAATCAAACACTGAAAGAGGCTGAAGTGAACGTGACTCAGTTTCAAGCTAGACAGGGCTGTGGGGGTCTCTTGTGGTGTGGGGTAGTTATGGCGGACCTAGACTTTGGGGGAATTCCCTTGGAGAGACAGTTGTGGGGGAGTCTTGTGGGGTTGTGGTTGAGACCTCTGTGGATGGTGTCACACTGCCTTGAAAGGGAGCAAACGTTCTCATGGGCGTTTATTCTGGGAGGAAGTCAAGTCCCCAGCAGAAAACGAGAACTTCAGAGGCTGACCTTAGCCCGAGGCAAGGAACACAGCAGGAACAGTCACTGCCAAGCAATCTTGGGATGCTGACCGGAGTGAGAGGCGATAAGCTGTCTGCCTCCCTGGCGTCTCCACGAGCCAGAATTCCTACAGCCAGCTTGTTCCTGTGGGAGAACCACTCTGAGCAGCCTTGTGAGTCCCTCAAATGATTTGATCCCCTACCTGAAGGTCCTTGAGATAGGGGAGGAAGCCCAGAGAGACTGGTTGCCATGACTTCCAATGGACCAGGCACACGCATACCTTCTCTTATTTAGTTTTCATTTGCTCAAGAAAGAATGATGTTTACTCCCATTGAAGAGCTGAGGTTCCTGAAATTAAACGCCCTTCCAGAAAGAAGGGCTTCTGTTCCCAGCCTGTCAATGGCAGCTGTGGGCGGAAAGGACACCCTCACTCTGCCTGCTCCGTCTCCTTGCTAACCACCATTCTCACTATCTTCCTGTTAGGTCTCCTTTGCATCAAATCTAATTTGTGGGCACTGATCAAGAATGAAAAACTAAGGTGTTACATCTTCTAAGCAACTTGGATTTCAATTTATGTTGAACTTTGGGTCAAATATTTACCGTCATAAGCACCAGAGGGCCAGTGATTTTGACGGTAAGTCTGGAACTCTGACCTACCTTATGGTAGTGGTTCTCAGAGTTTAACAGGGATTGGCAAGCTCCAGACTGTAGGCCAGACCCTGTCCCATACCTGTTTGTGAGTAGCCATACGCTGAGAATGATTTTTATTTTGCACTTTGAAATGGTTAATAAAAAATCAAAAGAAAACTAGTATTTCACTGTATGAGAAACACCTGATATTTCAATTGCAGCGCCACAGTCTTAGTCTTTTTGGATAGTTGTGCCCATCCATTTTCATCTTGTCTGTGGTGACTTTCAACCTGCAGGGACAGAGTCGAGCAGCTGCCACAGAGACCATATGATCTGCAAAGCTTGAAATATTTACTATCATCTTGTTATGGTTTGGATAAGAGGTGTCCCCCAAAAGCTCCTGTGTTAATGCAGGACTGCTTCAGAGGGGAAATGATAAGACTATCAGACCTGAAACTCATCAGTGGATTAATCCATTTGATGGATTAATAACTTGAAAGGACCACCGTGCTGGGTGGTCATTATAGGCAGACGGAGCATGGCTCGAGGAGGTGGGTCCCTGGGACTGTGCCCGTGGAGGTTACATCTTGTCTCCCTGGCTTTATCCCATCTCTCTGTGCTTCCCAACTGCCAGGAGGTGACTGGCTTTCCTCTGCCATGCCCGTCCACCATGATGTTCTGCCTCACCTTGGACCCAGGATGGTGGAATGTCCAACCATCAACTGAACCTCTGGAACTATGACCTCAAAATACATTTTTTTCCTCCTTTATGTTGTTCTGGTCAGGTGTTTTTGTCACCGTGATGGAAATCTGACTGACTTTCTCTGTCCAATAACAAGTTTGCTGAGCTGAGGACTGAAGGGTTTGTAAAAGACAGATGGCTAATCCCCGGTCTCAGAGTGACTCGTTCAGTAAGTCTGGGTGGGGACCAACATTTTATTTTTATGATCATTTCTTAGATAAGGCTAATATTGCTCTTCAACCTTGCCTGGACACACTGGACCTAACTAGCTTGGATCCGACCCTGGAGATTTGGGTGTAATTGGTCTGGGTGTTGGGATCTTTGAAATTTTAGAGGGAGTTTACAGTGCAAACACTGTCCAATAGAAATACAGTAAGTCACATATATAATTTGATATTTTAGTAACCACATTTTAAAAGCTGAAAGCAATTTTAATAATATGTTAATAATGTGTTTTATTATTGATAAATAGTAGGTTGATATATTTTATTTCACTCAATTTCATGGTTTGAATATTCATCGTCTCCCAAAGGCCTGTATATTAAAGGCGTGATTCCCAGCTGATGGCCCTGTGGGGAGATGGTGGAACCTTGGGGGTGGGGCCTTGAGGGAGGAAGTTAGGTCATTGGGGGTGTGCCCTTGGAAGAGACATTGGGACTCTGGCCTCGTCTTCTTTCTTTTTACTTCCTGGCTACCATGGGGAGCACAGCCTTGTTTCCCCATATGTTCCCACCATGATGGGCCTCCCACAGGTCCCCCAAACAATGGAGCCAAGAGACCATGGACATCAACCTCTGAGACTGTGAGCCCAAACTAACCTTCCTTATTATAAGTTGATTTTCTCAGGCATTTTGGCACAGTGACAAAAATCTAACACACTCAATATATCCAGAATTTTATTTCAACATAGCTGTTTTGAATGTGTCTACCATGTTTCAAGTATTTATTGAAACTGCAAAGTCATCTCTTAATGGTATTTGGAAGTGAGTCTTTTGGGAAATAATTAGGATTAGATGAGATCACAGAGATGTGGCTCTAGTGATGAAATTTGTACCTTTATAATAAAAGAGAGACTTGAGCTAGCACTCACGCTCTGTCATGGGACGCCCTGTGCCATGTTATAAGGCCCTCCCCAGTTGCTGAGCGGATGCTCGTGCCAACCTCCTAGATTTCCCAACCTTCAGAACCACAAGTCAAATAAGCTCCTATTCTTAAAATATTTCCGAATATCAGGTATTTTGTTATAGCAACAGAAAATGGATGGATGCAGATGTATAACCAATGTAACAACGATCAAGACATTTTACATTTTTCTTTTCATGTTACATCTTTAAAACCGAGTTGTAGTTACACTGATGATATGTTTCAATTCAGAGTGGTTATGTTTCAGAGGGTCAGGAGCCACATATACCTTGTGGTCCCTGCAGACAATAGCATGGGTCTAACTAATATGCAATTGAGATCCAGTGCAGTGAGGGCCCTGGGGTATCCTGTTTGTTAGAACATGCTTGTTTGTCACTTAATAATATTCTTATATTTTCATGTAATTCAATAATCTCCTATGATATCATTTAAAATCACAGCTTATTGTGTCCCCCTTGGTTTAGCTAAACAATGACCTATTTAATAAATTCCCTACAATTAGTTGGTGGCTATGGACCAGACCTAAGCTAGTTACAGCTAGACTGTTCTTGAGTATCAGGAGAATTTACTATAGCTTCCTTCCTTAGGTTTACTATTTTGGTGTGGTCATTAAAAACTTTCAATTAATCTCACTTTAGCCTTAAAATTGAGGCCAAGCTTATGGATTTAGTTGTACAACACGGAGGTGAAGTGGAACAGATCTATATGATTCAATGCTATAAAAGGAAAGAGGGTCTCAGGAAGTGTTCACATAGTAGAAGATATAAGGTTGCCTGTTCTGTCACCTTCTCAATGAGCCCAGTGCCTGGATAAGGGGATTCTAGGGAAAGAGTACAGAGTGGATACTTCATGATTGCCCTGACATTCTATTCTAGTCTTTGATGCAGAACTTACTATGCATTTACCTTCTGCATGATGGGCTTGCTTCCAGACCACAGCAATAAAGCAAATATCACAGTAAAGTGACTCATGACATTTTGGGCTTCCTGGTGGGTGCATATCAAAGTTATGTTTATGTTGTACTGTAGTCTATCAAGTGTGCAAGAATGTTATGTCTAAAAACACAATGTGAATACCTTAATTAAAAAGTATTTTGTGGGGCTGGGGATATAGCTCAGATGGTGGAGTACTTACTTTGCATGCACAAGGCCCTGAGTTCAATCCCCAGCACCACCAAAAAACAAACAAACAAACAAAAAACAACCCCAAACAAACAAACAAACAAAAAACCTTTGTGCCAAAAAAGTGTGAGACACAGATACAGAGTGGGCACATCTGTGTCTATAGACCTGCTCCATGCAAGGTTGCCAGAATCCACCAATTTGTAAAAAATGCAGTATCTGTGAAGTGCAATAAAATGAGGTATGTGCATTCAACTGCAAATATCATTGAATATAAAATAGGTTATGATTCCCTTTTAAAAACTCTTAGATTTACCTTGTGGAGGAAAGAGAATTTGTTTCTATTCTTTTCTGTAATGATAAACTAACATTTGAAAGCACAACCTTGCAAATTCATCATAAAAGCAAAGATTTCTAAAATAGGTAAAAATACAGGCCTTCAGTTCTACTATTTAGAAAGAACTACTCTTCTCTCCTAAATGTAAACATCCGGAGTTCTTTTGATGATTATAATTTCACACATTTAAATAAAAACAGGATCCAACGAGATATTCTGTTATAGTATGCTTCTTTGTTACTTAATAATATTCTTATGTTTTCATGTTATTCAATAATCCCTATGATAGCATTTAAAATCACAGCATATTGTGGGCTAAACAATGACCTACTTAATGAATCCCCTATTATTGGACATATAGGTTGTTTTTCCCCATTTGTCAATCACCCCATTAGTAATGCTGCCAGAAGAGCATCATTTGGTCTTTGGATCCAATACACTTCCTGCTTTAGAGCTAGCAAAGGGAAGCCCAGAGGAAAAGGAGACATTATTTTACACTTGCGGTCTCACTAAGCCTGACCAATTTTGTAGATTTCATCTGCCTTGGAGGACAGCCAGTGGGATGCAGTTTGCAGAGGAAGGCATAGAAATGTGGTGGCAATGATACCAATCACTCAACCGCAGTGGACGCCAGAGTGTGCCGCCCACAGTGGACACTGAGTTTTCTCACCATTCTGCTAGGAAGAACCTGCAGGTCCCTGGGACCATTTCATACATGATCTGTCACAGCAGCCTGTGCTTGGGTTTGGACTGGCTTCAGTTCTCCCTGTGTCTCTGGTGTCATTTCCCCTTCACGTCTTAGTGTCAGTCACTTCTCTGGGACAGAATCATTCCTGTGGTGGATTTGTGGGTGGGTTAAAACAATTCAGTAACTCAAGAAGCCTCTGAATTTAAAATGTTAGCTTCTCTGGCTTATGTAATTTACATAACTATTTGTGCATGCAACATTTGTATATTGCTCTTCTGATTGTTTTGCACTATCTGAAATTTCCTGGCAAGTCCCCAAGTGCCAGCTCCTCAGCTGCCTATGCAGTGTCATCCCCATAGCAATAAAGCAAATGAATGGCTGCGGAGCTACCCAGCATCCAAATGAGGTAAACACCAGCTTCTGAGCTGGTACACCAAATCAGACACCCCCAAATCATTTGAGGGAGCAGCGTTTCTCCTGTTTTATTAATTCTATTAAGGGCATATTCATAAGGAATAAAAGAGGTTTTCTTAAGCTTGAGGGGCCCAGTGAATTTACTGTTTGCTCTGTGTCTTCGTGCTGTGCATTCGCATCATGGATGGTCATTTTGCGGTGGGTGGCTAGTCTGTGTTCAGAGCAGTCGTGTGTCCCTATGCAAACACGATCCATGTGTTTATTAGATCTTTTCTGTCAGCCCTCTATGCCCCGTCTGCAGAAAGGTTAATGGGGGACACACTCACAAATACACTTCCAGCTGAGATAAGGTCTGTGGCAGAAATAGAACATGATGCTCTGGGAGAAGTCGGAGGGAGCAATTCATTTGGCTGGGTTTGAAGGAGGCTTCTTGGGTTAGATCTGGACAAAAGAAGAAAAGTGGGAAGCAGGCTTTACAGGCTAAGGGAACCACCTAAACAATGTGGCATGTGTTAATGTGCAGGCCTTGGTCAGAAAATGGTGATATTTTGTTGAGGTGGTTGTTAATGGTGCATATGGGGAATGGAGGGAAATGTAGCTAGAGAGGAGGGATAGTCAAATTTATGATGTACTTTTGTCATCAAAATAACTCAGGCTTTGGAATAAACCTAGGTGGCCATCAACAGATGAATGGATAAAGAAAATGTGATACACACACACATACACACACACACACACATAATCACACATTGGAATATTACTCAGCCATGAAAAGGCACAAAATTCTACCATTTTCAGCAATATAGGTAAAAGTGGAAGACACTATGTAAAGAGAGATAATGCACAGAAATACAGTTACTATTCTCATTTATGAATGGAAGCTAAAATGTTGATCTCAGAGATGTAGAGAATAGAGTAATAGTTATTAGAGCCAGAAAAGAATGTGGGGTGAGGAAAGAAGAGAGGAGGGTTAGTGGGCTCATAGTACTGCTGGATAGGAGAATGAGTCCTAAAGCTATACAGCACAGTTGGAGAACTATGATTGACAATTAATTGATTATTTCAAAATAGCTTGTGGAGAGGATTTTGAAAGTTTCTAGCACAAAGTAATGATGTGTACCTGAGGGTGATAAATCTGTCAGTTACCCAGACCTGATCATGAGACACTGAGTACATGTATTGAAATGCCCCTGTGTACCCCATAAATATGTAGGATCACCATGTGTCAATGAAAAAATGTATTTTAAAAATATTGATAAAAATGATAGACTTCATTCTACAGGAAAAGGAACTCTTGAAGTCCTTTGGGCAGGAGGTGACATTTCTAGAGCTTTGTCTAGAAGAGCTAGCTGGCATCTGTGTCAGGGGTGGAGAGAGACTTGATCTAGGGACTGGAAAGACAGCTAGTGTCTGTCCTTTCTTGCTAAGTTGGTAGGACTTCCAGGTGACCAATCTCCAGGTGACCAATCCCCACATTTGGGTTCAAGATCCTTATTTGGGATAAAAAGTTGGAAATATAATCAAAAGGCTTGAGATAGGACAATGGATGCTGGCTGTAGGTGATAGCCTATGAAGTGGTTAGCCTTTCCTGGGTGGGAATTATTTAATCATTAGCTCAATATGATTTGAGTTCCTCCAGAACATTTTACACAATCAGGTCTATGTTCTCTTTTATAGTTATTTTTAAGATATGTGTGTTAAATATATATATATGTATGTGTATATATATATATATATATATATATATATATATATATATATATATATTTATGGGGCATAGTGTGGCATTCCAGATGTGCATGTAATGCATAATGATCAGATCAGCATAACTGGCATGCTGACACCTCAGTGTGTGTGTGTGTGTGTGTGTGTGTGTATTTGTGCATGTGCACACACATGTACACATACACATATTTGTAGTTAATGCTCCCCACATTTCAGGCACATTTGAGATACAGTCCACCCTCTGTGTCTGTGAGTTCTGTATCTCTGGATTTTGCATCTCTACATTCAACTGACCACAGATGGAAAAAAAATTGGAAGAAAATGCATCTGTATTGAGCATGCACAAAATTTTCGGTCATTATTCCCTAAACGATACGGTATGACAACAGTTTACATCGCATCTACATTGTATTAGGTATTACAAGTGATCCAGAGATTATTTAAAACATATGGGAGGATGTGCATAGGTTATGTGCAAACACCACCCCATTTGTCTAAGGGACTGGAGCATCCACAGACTTTGGTAATTACCAGGTGTCCTGGAGCCAGTCCTCCACTGGTACCTACGGACCACTGTAGTGGGTGACCAAGGCAATACTGCTCACACTTGGGAAGTCCATAGTCGGCTGGGGATGACAGACGGGGGTAAACGGGTACAATACCATGTGGCGAGTGCTGCAAGTGAGTTGTCTGCCACACAGTCACAGGAGAAAGGAGGCTGAGGAACAGAGCTATGGGAACTGTCATTTGCAAATCCCAGTGAAGTTCTGCAGACGTCCATCTGGTCAACCCTCCCCTAAATTCCCTGATTTCTTTTCTTGCACAAACATCTTTTATCTGTATCCCTGGGTCTAGGAAGGGGACTCCAATTGCTTCTAGATCTTTTACTTAGAAAGGAAAATTGGGGCCGGGCGTGGAGACGCACGCCTGTAATCCCAGCGGCTCGGAAGGCTGAGGCAGGAGGATCGCGAGTTCAAAGCCAGCCTCAGTGAAAGCAAGGTGCTAAGCAACTCAGTGAGACCCTGTCTCTAACTAGAATTAAAAAAAGGGCTGGGGATGTGGCTCAGTGGCTGAGTGCTCCTGAGTTCAATCCCTGGTACCCCTTCAAAAAAGAAAATTGGGCATTTTGCAAGGATTCTTGCTGTTTTACAACCCTGGCTGCCTTGAGGGGAAATCGACGGGAGGATGACTCTGGAGTGTGGGTTTGGGTCATGCTCCCTGTTGTCCAATGAGAATAGGAAGGAGTCCCTGGGAGGGGGACAAGCCAGTGGAGATCAACTCCTAGAGAAGGTCAGCCATAGAGCTGACCCACATTTTAATTAAACAAGTGCGTGGGCTCTCTCTCGTCCAGCGAGGAGGTCCACGGAACAGGGTAGAGGAGAGTGTGGCTGTGGGGTCACTACTCAAGACCTCCGGAGACCAAGCAGGAAGCAGGTCTGCTTTCATTGCGCAGTTACCATGTATATATACAGGCAGTAGCTAAGCAGATGACAGGCAGCCACCAGTGCAATTTCTTGCCAACTGTCCTTGCAGTGACCCATTGAGGAGTGGGCCATGGAGCAAGCACAGGGATTGGAACATGCAGCCTCGCGCCCAGGGCTGTGCCTACAGGGTAAGCGGTTTGCTGCTCATGCACCTAGCACGAGGGGAGTGGCCTGCCACTCAGACACCATGAATGCACTAGTCCCAACAAACAAGGAAGCTTGGTTTGACTGGCAGGTGAGGACAAGGACAGGAGGGGTGGGGACAGGCTTGCTGTTGGCTGTGTATGGAGGAAGGGTAGCAGATTAGTGAACTGAAGGAAAGGAGCTAATGTAATAAGGCTTCGGCTTCTCTGCTTCCAGTCTAGCTACCTGAAGGCCCTGTCAATCAACCGCCCACAGGGGAAAGCAGTGAGATGTGGTAAGTTTCACTGTCTTTCCTCTTTCAAAGTCCGTTGCTCTATCAACAAGACTGCACCAATCATCGAACCTCGGAACAGCATTGAATTTTCATGGATTTTGGGGAAGCTATTGGGCCCTTCTTCTTCTAGCCTTTTTATTAAGGTGCCACTATTCACAGGAACAATCCCGTTTGGAGACCATCTTCTGTACAACGTCTCATTTTTGAGGCTCATGACAGCCCTGTGGGGAGGCGTTTCTTGTGATTTGTTTCTAAAAGGTGCTGATGAGTGAGGCTCAACTTGTTCCAGGATGGGGGAGGGGGGTGGACAGTGGGCTCTGTCCTGGGGTTCTGACCTCGGATGTAAGCCTTGGGTCGGGCAATGACTTACCTCCTTTCCTTCTTCCACAGAAAGAAAACTTGGGTAGATCGTCCTCGCAGATAGGATAGGAGAAATTCAGAACAGACGCGCCTTTTGTGAGGAGGAGCACATCCAGGAACAGCTCCCGGATATCTTCCCCTAAAGAAGAGGAGGCGCGCCATCACCAGGACTCCACAGCAGGAGACAAGGACCCTTTATTTCCCTTTGACTGCTTTGCACGGAAAACTTTCCCCCCCCCCCCCTAGTAAAACAACATTGAAACCATACTGAGGGGACTGTGACGACCCTGGGTATGAAAATTGGCCCATTCTCAAACGCCACCTCTTTGGGGCAAGGTGGCTCCTCTGCTGTGCGGCCCAGATTCAATGCCCTGGCCCCTTAACGAGGTGTCTGCAGGGGGCTTCCAGAACTTCTCAGCTCCATGGTGCTCTTTATCCCTAGTGGCCATGGTGGGGTGTGGTCAGCCCACACACCCCCCTGATGTTGCTAGGCAGGAGCAGGCACCTCTGTGGTCTGGTTTCCCATGCTCTCTGCCTTTTCCTCTCTCTTCCTTTTTATGTTCTACCTACTCCTATTCCTCTTTTCTCTCTTTCTTACTCTCCACAAAATATTTCTTGAGATGCTGCTGGAGTCCTGACATTGTGCAAAGTTCTAGAAACACACAAATTGGGTGGGTTCTTGGTTTCTGGGAACGTCCCCTCTGTTTCTCTGGATGGTCCCACACACTAGGTTGATGGATCCTTCTGCTCTGGTTTTGATAAAACTGTTTTAGGAAAGGAGATAATTTAGTAACTAGAGCAAACATATGAGCCGATTATAATGGCATGATCGAATTAAAAAAAAAAACAACAACAGAAATTGCTGTGGCTCATTGATTGGGTTGTGAAGAAAGACTGCACATCTCCTCTTTGCCTGGGTCAAGGTCTAAGAACTTGTATTAGCTGCTCAAGACACAAAATAAGGTGAATGACAAACCATGCTGCTTGTGGTAGGGAATAGATTTGTCTGTGGCTGAGACACATAAGCAAAGGATCTCTCCTAGAGAGACAGCAATACTTAGTCTCAAAATATTTTCTTGGGGCTTGGGATGCGGCTCAAGTGGTAGAGTGCTCACCTAGCATGCATGAGACACTGGGTTCGATCCTCAGCACCACAATAAAATAAAATAAAGATATTGTGCTCACATAAAACTGAAAAATATATTTTAAAAATATTTTCTTTTTTTTTTTTCTCGCTAGGTATACTGATTTCAGGTGCTTATCCCATCCAGAGAGGGTATAGAGTCTTCTTAGTAGAAAAGTGGAACATTAAATGAGAGTTATACTTTACTTGGATATTACCCAGAAAGAGGATTTAAGGTGGAAACAGAGTTAATTCCAGAGAATGGTGGGGGACTACTGGGCTAGCCAGCCATTATTGTTCATATGAGTCAGTTGGTGTGTGGGGCAGGATGTTGTGCCATGCTTTATTTTGTGGTCATAATTTCTACTTACTCAGAATGATGCCAAATCTAATGCTGAGATGCGGTTGTAATTTTTTGGAACACTGGTCAACAGAAAAGCCAAAATCCTGCAAAGGATCTGCCAAGAGGAAAAAAGAAAAAAAAATAGAATATTCATGTGTATATTGTGTTAACAAACCCAAGTTCACTAAAATTTATTCAAAAGCATATTACAAAAATACTTTAAGAAAAAAAAATCCATGAAATTTTCACCATCAACTCCTGGTCTCTCCAAAGTCAGTGTTGGATCCACTCTTAGAGCTGATCTACCTCAGCTGGTCAAGGCTCTGTTTACATAGACAACAGGGTCCTGAGCCACAGAATTGGGACAGCATCTTGATCATTGGGTTACATCTTTGCCTGGTGAATGATTTTGTCATTCAAACTTTATCATCTGAATTTTTATCTCCGCTTGAATTCTTCTTCTTCTTTAAGAAATAGGGGAAAAAAAGCTTGCTTGAATTCTTTTGCCTCCTGAACTTTTGGCTTTAAAATTGTTCATTAATTGCAGAGAACATTTCATAAAATATTGATGATTATAATGAAACAGAGAGAAAAATGTGCAGATTATCAAAGTTAAGAGCTGCTGTTGTGATTTCATTTTATCCCACCCCATCCTACCCACTCCCATCTACTATAATAATACCCCCCCCCCCAAATATTTCACTGTGAAGGGTACTGTGTTAGATATGACAGAGTCTATGATGATAATGTAATTTAAACATAACTGATGCTCATTCAAAAGGCTCCGATGGCTCATCTACGTCTTAGAGTAAGTGCACAAATGTTCTACTGGCTCCAGCTTCCAAACTGCACGTCACAAATCCATTCCTTGGGACTCAGTCTCATGCATCCCTGGAGCCTGGGGTGGCCACAAAAACACTCAACCAATGCCCAGCACACCTGACTCGCTTGTGAACTCTCCCATCTCAGATGATCTTAGTCTTTTTGCTCATTGTCTAAACACTCAGTTCTGGTTCATTCCTAGCTTTTGTGAAGGCTTCCCTGATAATCCTGAAAACAGCCTTTCGTTTCTTCGAATTTTTAAAACAGGTCTGAAATACTTTTTAAAGTGCTTGCATATCTATGACTTTGTGCCTTGCTGCGTGCCAGATCCCTAGAACACTTCATCTGCACGTGAGAATCCTTAAAAAGAGGGGCCAGTGTTTGGGTTTGTTGGTTTGTTCTATTTTGTTTTTTAATCTAATAGAGGAGAGCTAATTTATTTTCCCATTTTTTAAATTGACACATAATTGCACATATTTACAGGGGTATATGATATTCTGGAATGTGTATACAATGAGCAATGGGATCAAATGTTGGTAACTGGCAAATCCATCACCTCAAACATTTATCATTTCTTTTACTGGAAATATCCAAAGTCCTTTCTTTTAGATATTTTGAAATATATAATAAATCATTGTTAACAGTAGTCACCCCACTGGGCTATAGAACACCGTATTCCATCTTCTTATCTAACACTTTTCTATCTTCCCTCTCCCCTTCCCACCTCTTCTAGGAGACCAACTTTCTTAGCTTCTACATATGAGTGAGTATGTGGTATCTGTCTTTTTGTTCCTGATTTATTTCACTTACATAATCTTCTCCAGGCTTATCCACTTTGATGCAAATAACAGAATTTCATTATTTTTATGGCTGAATCATATTCTGTGGTGCTATCACACATTTTTCTTTACCCATTCATCCATGGATGGACCCCTAGGTGGTTTTTATATTGTAGCTGTTGTGCCTAGCACTGCAGAAAACACGGAAGTACAAATATCTCTGCACATACTGGTTTAATTTCCTTTGTATAGACCCAATAGTGGGATGGCTGGGTCATACAGCGGATTGATTTTTTTAGTTTATTGAGGAATCTCTGCACCATTATTGATAATGGTTACACTAATTTCATTCCCACCAACAGTATCTAAGAGTTCTCCTTTAAAGAGAGTAAATTTTAGTCAAGGCCTCCCTCTACTAAGCACTGAGCTGTGTACTTTGTAAGAGTTTCCACTTCATTCTCCAGACCGCCCAGCACCTGGCACAGTCTACACACAGTAATCACTCCACTAATATGCATAATAATTGGACGGATGGCATCTATTAACCTATCTGTGTATCAGCTCCAAATCCACTCTTCTGCACTTGCTTTGTGAAACTGGCCCCTCTGCAACCCTGTTACTCCTTTGTCATCTGCAGGTTGAGGTGTCAGAGAGAGATGGACCTTGGAGCCAGACAGGGGACTTGCTTCTGGTGCACTTGTTGAAAGCATCAGCAGCAATGGCCCATCTCCACAGGAACCCACTGGTTCCAGTGTCCAGCTCTCCTTTGTACTTTCCAGAATCAGTGGGGATCATCTCTGTGGGTCCCCAACCCTCTGCCATAACTCTTCCTCAGAGTGGCTGCCCCTTCCTCTGCAGTCGGACTCAGCCCCACAGGTCCTTTCAAGCATGCAGGTTCCAATAACCCCAACATCTGCTCTTAGCTCTCCTAGCCCCTGGGGGCGGTGCTATTCCTCCAGTGTCCTTATTTTACTCTTTTTATTTTCTGACAACTGATTAATCAATTCCCCATATTAAATTCCTTTTGTTAAAATAACTGATATGGTCTCCATTTTCCCAGTAGGATCCAAATTGGTAGAATAGAGTAATTGAGAGAGAAGTGGGCAGGAGGGAGGGGTGGGGGGGGGTCTGATTTTCTTAATTTCTCTGGTGGGGAAATACAGACTCAGAGAGGTTGTGTTAAATTTCTCACATCCCAGCACTAGAAAGTGTCAAGATCCAAACCCAGACTTAAAAACAAGCAAGGAAGCAATTTGATGTCTAGGATTGTGCAGTGATACTCAAAAAGCAGAGCCTCCACTCTGTATGTCAACTATTGGATCTGTAAGATTTCCCAGAATATTTTCTGTGGAGGCGTATGGCACCGGGTAGTTCTTGTTTATAACTGATTTCTCTTTCAGCTTAGTTATGAGCTCTCATTTGCCAACGATAGTGTTCCAGACAGTTTGAGCATCTGCATTGGTGAGCTGGAAGGCACATCGGTGTCTATGGTGTCTGCCCTGGAAATGATCAGTAGGCAATTTCAGTCTTGCAAATTTAACACAGCTGCACCTTCAATCAAAACCCCTTTGGACTGGTCACTACTTTTCTTGGGGGAAAACATCTTTTTTTTCCTCCTTAGGCACAAATTAGATTCCTTCCTAAGCATCTTCATGCTGTCTCAGGGCTTCTTTCAACTCAGAAAAGAGAACTAGGGGGATGGAGACAATGTTCTACTACAGACTTGGCACTCAATATTGAAAGACAAGGAGGCCAGCTAACAGATGTTCAGGAAGGTCCGTCTTCAGGGTTGTTGATTAATTTAAGTTGCCATCTGAGGCAAAATAGAAGAGGCTGAGTATGCATCGTTTGGTTAATTAGCAGTTACAGAATTCCACTGTATGTTTATCAATATTTTAAAAGTATAGATAGAATAAACTAAGGCCAGGAGAAGGAAATGAAGCTTTTCCATGGCATTAGAAAAACACTGTTAGAAAAACAATCTTAACAGGGAACAAAACCACAAAGAAAACATTAGGTTGCTTTTCACCGAGGAAATGCATATAGAAGCCCAAAGATGGATTGCTTAAAAAGTACTTGGGGATTTGGTAAACTTTCCTACTAGTTATTTCAAATTGATATATGAGTGATTTTTCTTTTTAGTATAAGCATGCAGTTTGCAGACTGCTTTGGAAAAGTGACCTCGGTTCCTCCCATCCCCCAATCCCACCCTCTTAAATCTCTGTCCTTTCCGATATTTATTTATATTTCCATTTAGGCACTTAGCAAGCTCCATGTTACGTTTGTTTGAATACCTCCCTCATCTCTCTAATCAGACTCCCCAGCACTAGGGGCATCGTGTCCTAAGGGCACTAAGCCCCAAGTCATTATTTGCTCAATGAATAATAAAAGGTTATTCTCAATTCACTGAGAACCCTAAAGCAGGGTTTCTCAACCCCACCACTATTGATTTTTTTGTATTAGATAATCTTTTATCGTGGGGCTGTTCTGCATCATAGGATATTCAGCGGCATCCTTGCTTTCTACTCACTAGATATCAGCAACTCCCCTCGCTCAAATTGCTTCAGGACCACCTACCAAAATAAGACATAGTAGGTTATAATTTGTAAATAGTTCTCATACAGGATGGGTAGTGGTTGGGCATGAGAGACTTTGCCTCGAGTGACTTTTAATATATATAAATCTGATCAACTGATTTTGGATTTTCTAAAACAATAAAATTGAAAGCTTAATGAGAGTCAGGGTTCCTGGGCTTCGAGAGCAGGAACAAACGCCTCTTACGGACACTTCATTGTAGAGCAGCATATGAGCTGAGGAAGGAAGTCAGACTTCCTAGGGATATGGAAGCGCTGTTCTTTCTGAGTATTTTTCCTTGACCTCACTGTTAGACCCGCTTTCTGTCTGTTCTGTCAACATCGATGTCTCCAGGGTTGGAGGAGCCAGCTGGGCTCAGAGGGATCAGGCTGGCTGATGACCAATTCTGCAAGCTGCTCTTCAACTTATGAGTCCCATCTAGCTGTGCATTGATCTGAAAGTTTGTGTCTCGGGCAGCTGTGTTTTGATCGGGGTATTTTAATTTTCTTGTATGAGTGCATAGGATAACATTCAGGGGTCATTGTGGGTCTCTAAAAGAGGACGATGCTTTTTGAAATTCCATGGCTGACTATCCATTACCAGCATGTCACAAAACTAACCTTCAGGTCTTCCATTTTTTGACTGCACTACGCTTCTCCTGTCCCCTTCCCTCTCTGTGCCAAAAGGAAATAACTTACAATATGGTGAAAGTATTCTAGCCATGTTTTTCTATTATTTCCTCATCTTTTTTTCCCCACTTGTCAAATCTTATTACTTATAGAACGGCAGCAGCATGGCCCTGATGGGTCATTATTTCAAATAATAGTAGTTCAATTCCCATTCAAGTCTGCTCTGCCAGGATTTCACTGGGACTTGCCTTGCACATTCAAAGTTGTATATATGAGATGGTATCTTTTCATCTGAGATATGTAGATGCCTA